AAGGTAAAACAGGTGGAAACCCTTAGAACCAGGGTGTGACACACACACACACACATTGGCAGGGTTGTCTGGACAGAATTCAGCCTAGGGAATGGTGCAGTCGGCCATTGAATCTAATGCACCTATATAATATAGCAAACTTGTTACTAGTAGTGACAGACAAGGGCATCGCTACTAGGAGGAAGGACGCTACTAGGGGCTCCTGGCCGTACTACTAGGAGCAAAGGACGCTACTAGTAACAAGAAGTAATTAAGTTAAATTTGATGTATGTTTTAAAATGTGTTTTTTTCGTGTAAAAAGCCCCGAGTCTTTCTCTTGCCTTAGACATCTAGGCATCTTGGACTAGACCTCAGTTTCTTGAACTGCGCCCCAGGTACACATCAATCAACGTTAGCATTTACCAGGCATATACTATAATCAGCGATCAGGTGCTTCTCTAACCTCCCTTTACTAAGGAAGAATACAAAGGATCGGTCTCTGCCTAAACTACCCAGAACAACTGCTACTCGATGAAGGAAAACACAAAATCTGGTGACAAAGGACTGCAACATCTCAAACTCGAGTCTTATTTCGCACCAAAACCGAAGTGTCCGCCAGTGGTCGGACGCACACACCTTCCAGAAGTGTGCACATAGGCAAAACTCGTCTTTTCATGGCTTTTATTGCATATTACGAGCCACGAGCTTAGTTACAGAACTTTGGAAAAGGTCGCACCAAGGGCATAGGCAGTGGAAAACAGTCACAACAGCCATTGGAATCAGAGCTCGTTCGAGCTCGTTCTTTTCTGAGCCTCCTCGCAATTGATGTACACAAGCTGCTGCAAAACACATACTTGCAAAGCAAGTGACAAATGCTCTGGCTAGGTGAAGCAAGCACCTGGGCCAAAAATAGTTAACGCTGGAGCCTCATCTGCAATTGTACTACAGTATATACTATATACATCTATAATTGTAAACAAACCCATGTGCATTCATGTCAGACTTTACAACATATCTTATTGGTGTCCACTTCCGAAGCCCCCGACTTTTCCGTGAATGGCAAGCTGTTTTCAGGAGCCATGTTCTTCTCCTGAGCCAAGTTTTTGTTTTGACTGTCCAACCGGAGAACATGGAGAACGAAGCATAGTGGCGAATTGGGCAGGTTGTCCTGCAGTTCCCGCCATGCCATGGATTGCACAGAGCCAGAAACCATGCCAATGATGGTCCGGCGAGAGTTATCTTCGACTTTGGGCTTCCTTGGAGACAAACGAGTCTTTGAGCCTTTGATTCTGAAATGTGTTGCATTGTTCTACATGGGATCTGAGAGCGCATCCTTGGCTCCTCCCATGAACACATTTGGGGTGTCACAGCGCTGCTGTCGTTTTCACATGTATTCACTCGAGCATCGCCGTCGCCTTTTTTTGCATGGACTTCTCAACCAGGTCAAGGGCATTGTTGCTAAGGCCCAGCCGACGACAAATAGCGAGAACCTGCCGGAGCTATCCAACAAATGGCACAGTTCAGTTGGACCGCTCTGAGACAACAACTGCACGCTAGAGCCCTAAGAGCGGGTGCTCTGAGAGCTCTACTCGCCGTGGTTCTTCATCTTGGCCTGTAACAGATTTGATTGATAGCCATTGAAATCCATGTGACAAGGCCTCGTGATAAGGAATTCAAAAGGAGCTATTTACTGTTGAATTGAATCCTAGAACTCGGATGCCATCACCAGAATTCTTTTGGCTGTATTCACGAAAATACCAAGAGCTGGGATGCCAACCGTCGGTGGGGCCAAAGGTGAGATTCTCAAAAATGCTAATCTCCGGCAAAATCTGCCTGATCGCTTCGAGCGAAGAAACTAAATACAGGAGCCGCTGCCCATGTTGTTTCATTTACCGACTTTTGAGACAAGGAGCGGATCTTTGGACACATGCAACACTCGCAAATGTGGTGGGATAAACAACTTGGCATGTCCTCCACTAGGTGCAGCTCATGCCAGAATCATGCAACTGGATCAACGTGGTTTGAATGGCAGTCCTGTTGGTAGGAGAACGCCGGCCATGAGCTCCTCAAAGGGTCAGCAATCAACACACAAAAAAATAGTCTGCAAACATTGAATCTTTGAGCTCTTTGTTCTACAGCTAGAGTCGGCAAGATGTTTTTGAACATCCACAAAGCAGTAGTTGTGGCAAGCTCAGAGATTTGGACAGAGCTGATGTTATGACGCGGCGACGACGGCAGCGACGACCACGACGGCACCCTGCAAGTGTTCTTTGCTCTTTCAACTCATTCACCCCCTTTGCGGTACGGAAAAGCAAACAGTAAACGGCCTGGGTTATATACTTGTTGAACATCTTTAATCTTATCCAGAAAATACGCAGAAGCGAGAGCGCCGAGGGACCATCTTTTGCAGCTGTGCAAAGTGTGTCCAAAGGACACAAGTTGGCACAAAAGTTAGTCGCTAGAAGCTACTAGTAACAAGAGCACAAACCGGCCGCCCTTCGGTCCAGAAGAGTCTTCTTTCCGCTGCCCTTCGGACCTGCCACCGCAACTAGCTTGCCTGGCGAGCCACAGTCACGAGTCCAGGTCTAGTCCAGGTGTTTGGGGTCTTCACCTTCTCGCTTTGAAGTCCTGCTTGGTCCAGGTCTTCCCTTCATCATTCATCTTTCATCTACCAAAATGCTGCTCTTCACCAACAAGCTGTAGTCCGTGCAACAAAAACTACAACGAGTTCAGAATGTGAAGTCAAGGACCACTCCTCTCGTCAACTAGCAGAACTTGTTTGCACTAATGACAAGGCAAGCATCACAAGAAACTATCATTGCTTTCTGAACAGGACTGTCTAATGCTGTGAACACATATGAACACTGGACGTGCACATGTATGTGCAGACCCCAGAAGTCCAAGAAAGTGCTCAAGGCCCACAGGAATTATGCAAGAACATTCTCATTTCCCGCGCGTGCACATGGCCAAGGTCTTGCACATTGTATTGCTAGTATGCACGTGCACAGCATACTAAGTTTAATTCCATTTATTGTTTCTAATAGCTTCTTGTTACTACTAGTAAGGCACTTGTTACTACTAGTAAGGCACTTGTTACTACTGGTAAGGCATTTGTTACTAGATGCGATGCACTTGTTACTACTAGCGTGGCACTTGTTACTATCCACATAACACTCCCACAGTGCGAGAACTTTGTGCGAGAACTTCATGCGAGCGAGTTGAACCAGCATGTATAGCCACTGCTTCCCCGCTCTTCAAGGGTCCACGTGGCCCATGTGCCTTGCTTGATGGTGAAGGTCGCACCCTCCAACAAAAGGCCGCCGTCTGACAGGGTGTTCATAGATGAAACATGTCCAACATGCGGGAAGCATGAGTCTCAGCAACAGTCAATTATGTAGATGTCCTCAATTTGCGGCTGGAGTTATTACAGTACTTCCAATGCTACATTGAAACTAACCAAACCAACCATCATCAGACTCTTCGGCACCAAATCCTTAAATCAGAGCCCGAATGTCGTTCCCGCACCTTTGGGCCTTGAAGGGTACGTAAAGTTGATGTCTTCTCCATAAATCCTGGGCTCTCATTCCACATTACACAAAGCACCTTAAGATCCTTAAAATACTACTGGATAATACTGGCAGCCAAAACAAATTGATCATCATCCCTAGGATGTGAGAAATTGAAGAAGGTCCAACTCCAGTGTGTCGAACACAGTCATCAAAGGCATTCAAGCAGCTGGACAAGATCCTGCGGATATTTTGCTTGAACCTGACAAAGTAGGGTGCTTCTGGTGTGGCGTTGTGGATGCGGCCAGACCTTCTTCTGGTTAAGTGCGACAATCCCCTCGTGATCGACAAATGGTGAATTTGCAATTGTCCCACCTTGGCATCAAGGTCAAGGTCTACTGTGCAACCAAGCAAGACTGTTTCTTGCAGTTTGAGAGGCGGAAAAGCAGCGCGTGTGCCTTAGAGTGGACACGACATTGCGAATCATTCTGGAGAGAAGGGTTGGAGTCAATGGTTCAAGAGTTCAACAAAAACAAGGAGTGCAAAACACCACGAATTCACACGTACAGCTGCAGCACAGGTTGACATTATGGTCTTTATTTGTCCGTGTGCCACGTTCAAATCCAAGTGGTGCACCTGGCTTTGTGCAACGAATCCATCTGCAAGCAATTCCCTGTTGACTTCCAAGCGCTCCAATGTATCTACAGGAAGATTCCTGAATTCGTCCATGCCAAGGTCACACAAGTCAGAAATGCAAAACATCGTCCTCAAACATGTTCTTTGTAGCCGACAACAATATTGGAGTTTGGGGGGGCAAGGCACATGTAGTGGATAATGTTCAGCAATGGTGCAGCGGCTTGTTGAACTTTTAGCATGTCCTTGAGGAATGCGCAAAGACACTACACCGTGGCAAAATGGTGACATGCCAAGCACAGTTTTACACAGCACCAATGACTGTTGCCCAGCTGCTTTGTAGGCGTTCTGATAGGCCCCTCCAATGCTCCTCCAAACAGCAACAAAGGTCAGAAACTCGCCTCAGAGTGCAGGCATTGGGTGGAGAAGGAATAGCACACAATTGGATGGACTTTGCTTTGGTTCACGGTGCAGCTACTTTTCTGAAAGGCCTTGCACCCGTGTTGCGCAGAGTGCCAACAAGACAGTATTGAATAAAAAATACAGCAAGCAAGATACTAGTCAAGGCCGCTGCAAGCCAGCAACAGAGGCAAGCTTGCTTTTCCCTTTTTTTTAAATGATAATATGATATGCACTTATGATGTATCCATACATGCAGACATGTATCCTTTATAGTATATAAAAGTCATCTTGCGAGATCTCCAGTGCACTTCACGCATTACGAAATACACAAGTCTTCACCTAGACCACAGGAAACCATTCACTATTTGATCAAGAGCTATGAACTGAGTGTAAAGTTAGACAGCTTGTCTCAGCATCACAGAATCTGCTCCACTGCTAGAAAATAAAGAACTTTTCACGAGCACAGGTCGGTCATTAGGCCAAGCTGCCGATGGTGATTACTTTGTCAACAACGGCTGAGTAAGAAGAAGCAACCTGATACAATATGATCGATTTATGCAAGCTTGTTTGTGGGGTGGCTGTGGGTGACACATCAGTAAAGATGGAGAACAACCGCTTGAATCGAAGACAAAACTGAGATCAGGACGTACACGGTTATGACAATGGTTGTCATAAATGGGGCAAATTCTTGATTGGTCACCCTTGCAAGCTCGAAATGTGTCAAGGAGATCCCACATGTTTCGTACCCCGCAAATGTTGTCATTGACCCATGGATGTGCCAGGCCTAAACATGGTTGCCAAAGTTGTCGCTCGATTGCATGCAGCCACTCTGTCATTGAAGCCTCAAACCATCAGAAAGGGCAAACATTGGTCGATCAAAGCACAAGGTGTCTGCCTCTCATAGACTCTCCCTCAGTCCCTGTGATCACATTTTGCGGCTCAAGAAACCTACAATGGTTTGAGGCTTTTGAAAGTAGTCGCAAATCAGCCGTGTGTTGTCCTTAGCTCATCAGCATGCATCATTGCCTGTCTCGGCTCTGCGGTTTAGTGAACCAGGGCACAGAACATGAAGAAAAGCTTTCGGAAGAAAAGCTTTCGTGTAATCAGCGCGTAGTTGTTGGTAGCAAGGAATTCAAAAGCACAACCTACTGTAAGGCCTCAAAGAAAACCTTGGATTGTGCATATTGTTTTGCTAGCGTTCTGCTTTTTGTTGAACCTGGCGCTTCCGCTTCTTTCTCGGAGCATTGAAACTTGTTTTCTTCACTTCACGTCACTACTGTGGTGCCAAATGCAGCAGATCTTGCAACAGGTCAGGTCAACTGGAGGGTTTGCCCCACTTGACAAAATCAGCATCGTCTTATCACGGCTTTTATCTAACATTGTCATCGATGCCACAACAGTTTCATCGGCTTCACAACATTGTCATCAGCATTCGTTGTCATCAACGAGCCGTGTGATTTAATAGGGCAGGCAATGGCAGGCATGAATTTCACAACAGTATCATCGATTTCGTAGCATCACCATCGATCTCAACACATGATGTAGATACTGTATATATTAACACAATTATTGGACATAGACACACAGAGGTGTGTTCGTATTGGTGTTCAGTTGGTGGAAGCTCTTCAGTTTGGTGAAATTTGCTCGATGTGTTGCGAGGCTCGAAACTTCAGAATGCTCCAAGGTTACTGCGTTTCAAAGCAGTCCGGACAACATGGCAAATGTAACTGCATGGAAAGAACTCAAGGCGGCCAAACTCATCGTCTTGCAGTTGATGAACTCCCAACAAATAATCCGAGTAGCCCAAAACCACAAAACCCTGTAAAACGCAGTGTCTTCAAAGCGTTGCAATGTGGGTTTCAGGGCAACCCGGCCGTTTACTCAACATGTTAAGTACCACTGTTGTTTCCCGAAACAGTGAGACGCATGCAGTTCACGAGACAAACATTCTTCATTGCTTAAAGCTTCGTGTACTAAGTGTACTATTCTATGCTATTCTTGCGTGTTTTTTTCGTGTCTGCGCTTCAACCCCGTGGCTGCCCCTGTGCTCCAACAAAGAAACGTGTGACGAAAGAGGCACCAAAGTCAGATTGTCTGCCTCACCAGGATTTGCAAGGGTCGGATAGCTGCAGTGTGATTTTGCCTTGTGCGAGGCTGTGGCTAGGTGGGGGCATCAGCAAAGGCAAACAACGTACAGTAATTCCTGCACTGGCCAGCAGCACTGGCTCATTCAGTGCCTAAAATAACACGAGCCCACCTGTGACAGCAACTGCATGTTTTCCTTCTTGATATGCATCTTTAGTGCAGAGGTTGGGGCGTGGAGTCAAAGCTAGCAGCTAGCAGTTACGCACAAAACCTATATAAAGCCCAACAATTTCAAGCGCTAGCACAATGGCATTGAGGTCGGTGACTTGTCTTCCTACAGCAACTGCTTCTTGTGATCTATGCCATTGGTATTCCATGGGCGGTGGTGAGACAGACCTTAGTGAGATTCGTGAAAAAAAACATCAGTCAGCAGGTTGTAGCTTTTGAATGGGGCCTGTGCTTCCAGGAGCTAGGATGCGTGTTCTCAATGGGCTTGTGGCTTGTTCAGCCTTTTCAGTTTACGGGACAATAAGCCACGTCCAGTGTCCACTGCCTTCAAAGGAATTACTGTATCGTCTTTCCCCGCTCTTCCAAGGATGTAGGAACACAGCATGTTGCACTTATGTCTGCCGAAGTCTCAGTCACTTGATGAACCAGTATCAACATCTCCGTCTGCCGACGAAACACTAGCCGATCTCGACCTCGGCAAGGTAGGACAAAAACAAAGTGGAACTCAGTTGCATGGTCCGCTCTCCGAATATGCAGTAGGCCCTTTGCGCTCGGTTTCTGGATGGCGGATATAGATGAATATCCTGTCATGCAAACTTGTTTGGCAAACAAAACAAGTCTTTAGGATCGAGTCATAACTTCATCTTGTGCTGCCAAGTGGCAACATTGCTATAGGAATCAGCAAGAACAGTATGAAAGTCAAAGCTGATATTTCAGTGCTTTGCCTAAGTGAAGAGCACTGCGGACTGCATTCACACTTCCCATTGTCTTTGAATGACTTGGAGTGCAAGGTTCCAACTCCGTTGTTGCAAGCAAGAAACGCGAGCATCAGAACTCCAAGGACCAGCACCAAGCCAAGGTTCTCCACCAGCTGGAAGATCTCACAAACGAGTTCTCCAATCCATCATGATCATCACTTTCTTGTACTTTCATGTTTCTTCTTTTCATCGTAACGGCATCTCATCATCTCTTGGCAGCTTTCCAAGTTCTGCCATTTTCGACAAACGAAACTTCTGTCGAGGGACGCCCATGAAACCATGCTCCACCAGCTCGGGCACATCACGTGTGATGGCCATTGCCAGATCCGACGTGGACCTCAGCTGGCTGCTGAGAAAAAGACGCCTTTACAAGTCGCCCATCGGTCCATTTGGCCATGCGGTCCTCTTTTTGATTCTTGTCTTAAGCTCGCTGCACATATTCTCGAGACGTCTCGTTGTAATTCAAATATTTCCTAGCGCATTAGCACAGCTCCATGAAATATCGTGAAACCCTGCTGTGCGTAAGAATCGAAGAAAGACCAAAAAGCCCAATCAAGCCGTACACGCTACAAGCATATCCATACCGCTCCTCAACAAATTGCCTGCACCATGGCTGTCACACTTGCATTCAACAGCAGTCTACGCAAAAAGTGCAAACAAGTGCGACAGTTCCATTGGGTGCAAAATTTGCTGGCCTTGCAGCTGATTCACAACCTCAGCCGACAGCATCTGCAGCATGCAACTAAAAGAAAACCACGGAGAGCTGAGAGAAGTGGAAGTGGTCCAAGAACAGGGGAAATAACAAGAAAGGTCGAGGTTGGTGCTACAGATGCTAAAGCAATACGATGTGCCTTGATGGGCAAGCCCTGTTTGATTGCAGGATTGGTAGACATACGGTATCACAAAATCACACGTATATAAAAATCGAACGTGAAGTGAAATGAGGATGTCAATAAGACCTTGAAGCTGACTTTGTTAGGTGGTTGTAGGCGCCAGAACAACAATCATCATCAAAACACTGTTGCGGGGGGGAGGAACATGTTGTAAATGCCAACATCAAACCAAGTTGCCATACTCCCACAGCACTACCACAACTTCTGGATGTCGACGGGTGAGCTTTCGAGAAGCCAGATTCGACGGTAGGGTTCATGAGCAATGCGAACTCTTCATCAACAGAGATGTTGAAGTCACTTTACGAGGAACTGTTCGCAAATTGAAGCAGTGCTGTATCCATCCTCAAAATAGATTGTGGTAATAATGAAAATTTGACTATTGATCTCGGACGAATGTTTTATTGCAAAAAAAAAAAACGAAAAGTAATGGGACAGTTTGTAACCGGCACCCCCGAGCCATTTCTGTTTTGGGTTGGCCACGCCGAGCGTGCACTTGTTCATGAATTCTTCAAAAACTGTCTATTGCAACTTTGAATTCTCACCCTCACATATGTCAATGCAAAGTTAGCATGGTGATAAGAAAAGAAGTCTACAGTCTACAGACTTCTTGATGAGATAGAATACAGGTGTAGTTAAGGGAAAAAAACACGTGGCAAGTAGGAAACACATGCCAAGCTGTTGGTTGTTTACAGTGTGAATTACCGTTCTCGATGTTTTGTTTTTGTACATCCTAATTATGTCTCTCACGCAGCTCTGTTCGGGTTCGTTTGGAGTTCCAAGTCTTGTCCAGGAGAAAGTAATAAATAAAAGGAGGGGACGCTGTGAGCGTGCCGTTCTTCTTGTTATAACTTACTGTAATTACCAACTACAGTATGAGATACAACATAATCAACGAGGATGAGGCCGGATGAGGGGCAAAAAAAAAACTCTGTGTCTGAGGGGCAGGTTCTGAGACATAGATTTTTTTGGGCCTGGTGATCTAGGCATATACTGGGTACAGATCACATGGGAGTTATGGCGTCAAGTGACACAAGGAATAGAGTCGGTAAGTCCTAAGTCATGTGAAAAACGTGTGGGTACCTAACCGTTAGATGAGTACAGGCAGAGCAGGATGAGATGGGAGTTGTGACACTCATGCATGCTCCCAACAGCTCCCGGCGCAATTAACAAAATTAACGTCACCGTTAACGGGTCCATCGCTCGGAGCGGGTTTCACCCGGGAGCTTCCTTGCAGAACCGGGGTTCACCGGTGATCCCCGAAAGAGCCGGTCAGCATTCCTCGGCCGTTCCCTGTGTCCCTCCCCGTTAAGGGAATAGGTCAAAACCAGTGGCACTTGCATCACCAAGACCCTTATAAACATGCACTTTGACTATATACATTTTGTCAGCTCTCCGCCACCAGGCTCTGATTCACTATATCCAAAAAGCACACACATGAAAACCAGCCGATAGGCTAGGCTGAAGTGCTCGATGGGCAAACGAAGTGAGTATTAGGGGGTGATCTTCGACGCGCTCTAGTTTCGTGCCAGGTGCAGTTGTGACTTTTGGACATGTGGGTCGTTTTCAGAAATTGGGGGAAGTCTCGCGCGAAAGCTGCGTTTGGTAGCTGGCAGCGTTCTTGCAGCGAAACACCTTGTCAGCCACGTGTGAATCTTGAAACGCAGATTTCGTGGCAGGCGCGGCACTTTGTGAACCTAAAAACTGATTTCGTGGTAGGCGCAGCACTTTTTGTGAACCTCGAAATGCAGATTTCGTGGCAAGCGCAGCACACATGTGTATACATATGCACTAGACGAACCTTCACTTCGTAAGCGGAACTAGACAAAAGCCGGCGCTACACAAGGTTCGTATGCACACATAACCCTGCTTTGCAGAAAACATGCACTAGACCAACCTTCGCTCCGTAAGCGGACTGTTTTGGGTCAACCCGAGGGCGTCTTGCCAAAACCGGTGCCGGGGCAAGTGGGAGACTTAGGGAAAACCAGGAGCGCAACTATTGGTATATGGCCCATCTCAACAAAGGCGCCGTCGCCAATTCCCACCACTCTTCAAACGAAGGGAGAACAAAGTTGCACCCAGTCATCAAGACATCTTTGTACTAGTTCCCAATTTGAGTGAAACGGCTTGACCGCGCAAGCTTAAATCATTTTTTCTTTCGAGCGTGCCGCTCTTTGCTTGCTGACTCTGCACCAACAAGGCTTTTCTTTATTTGGCACGTTTGGTGCTGAACTTCTTGGCTGGGTTTTGGCCAGCGTCTTCCCCTGGCCAAGATGGGGATGAGGCCTTTTGCCAATTGCATGGACCCATACTTCCGAAGTAGTTGGTTCAGAACCGTCGATGAGCTTCGCCTTTAACTGCCACGGCAAGGATGATCTGGCTGACTGAGTGGATAGCCCGACAGCGTTCGAACCTGGAACTCCGCAGTTAGCTTTGGCCCTCAGGCCACTGCCACTTTGAAAGGTCAAGCGCCCCTCGCAAGAAACTGTCAGGCCTAGAAAAGCTTCTAGAGTCATACGCAGCCTCCTTTCATGCTCCATCATTCAGTCTTCGGTCTCGAACGCGGACCCTTATGGGAGGACCCTGCAAAGCTCACGCTGGCGGACCCGCCTCGCCTTCCGCCAAATCCGCGCGTCCAATGCTCGGATCGCGAGCGGCTCGAGGCTGTCAGGGCCTGGCTGGAAAGAGACATTGTGAGAGTAGTTGGCAGCACTCCCCGGTATGTGAACAAGTTTATGGCAAATGGAACCCGCAGCCAGGAGTTCACAGTGATTGGTCTGCCAGCACTCCGGTGTATGTTTAATTCGAGGGCGACCAACTATGTTGCGAACCAGCTGTTTGAAGATGCGCGCAGGCTGTGGGGGGCGGCTAGCCTTCAACAACTGGTCATCCGGCCTGCTGGTGTGTGGACAAGACTTGGCGTCCAGCTTCTACTTGTCGAATGACCTTGGAGAAGCCTGTCGCCGCAGAAGAACCGGGCGGCGGCTTAGGTTGGGTTGGATTGCGCGCAAGTGTTGCCAATGGCAGTGCCATGGGATTGATCATCGCGAATTTGCAGTGCAGGCCCCGTGCCTTGGGGGCGCAAGTCTGGACCCTCTGGCCCAGATTGCTCTGGATGCTGAGTTTCCGGATTTGCCAGGGGAGCCAGGACGTTCTTGAGGGTAAGCCGCGCAAGGTCCAGAGTAGCCTACTCACGGTGGGGAGTCCCCATAGATTCAAGGAAGGCGTTGATTCAAACGCAGAGCGCTTGGGAGCGGTGTTTGCCCTACGAGCCTCAACGCGGAGGTGCTTGGATCTGGTGGGGCTTGGCGCTTACATCGAAAAACCGGGGAAAATTCCTCAGGTTGGGCAAAGCCGTGCGCGTATTGAAATACTGCCGCCGATGCCTCTTCGCCAATCTGGAAAAAGTCTTTGAGGCGATCAATCAAGATGAGATTCTTCATATCTAACAGAGGTGGTGTTGTGCGAAATGCTTATGGTTGAGAGATGTTGAGAGCTTGCTTCCCGTGGCTCGCGACAAGCCTCACACCTCCTGTTGACCCTGACCGTGTCGTGACGTGTTCTGCTGCCTCAGAACCAGCGGGGCCACGTTGTAACGACACGTGGGCTGCGAAATGATGGGAAGGAAGAAGCTAAAGCGCTGGCTATCGGTGTTGGAGGTTTGGAGAGCGCTTCACGGTGTTCATCGAAAGCGGCCGTGTCCTCCGAAAGACGTATCCTGCAATGATGGTTCTTTCGCGTGAGGTCCATTCCGAAGGAAGAATTGAACAAGGTCTTGGAACTCTCCGCCCCAACGTTGATGGAGTCATGTGTGGAGGAGGTTGTCCATATCAGGGCCGCAGCCAGTTGTCAAGAGCCAACCAAGAAACAAGTTATTCCACGAGGTCGTCCGGGTCTTCAAGCTCATTGATGAGCCGCAGTTTAAGAAGAACCTCTAGACTAAAGTTCGCGGAGAATGTGGCGGCGGGCATCAACCACATTGAAGAGATGAGTCACGCATTGCGAATGAGGCCAATGTTGGTTGAGAGCGGTGATGGGAGCCGGGTTCGTCGTCCGAGTTTTGAGTGGAAGGTGCATGAGCTCTTCGACAAGCTGAGCATAACAGGGGTGGAAAACAGCACCATTGGTGAGTTTGCTCCGCCCGCATTGTGATTGGGTCGAAAGGAATGAAGACGATGACTTGAGGTTTCCAACGTTCACCCAAACCCAAAAAAAGAAGCGCAAGACCACGAGGCCCTGTCTTGCAGGGAACGGGGTAAGTTTCGCTATCCTGTACGTATGGTGAGAGCTTTATTGATCATGACGGAGGCCCACAAAGAAAGGCCTTTGGTCAAAGAGGAAAGGGAGGTTTTGATGGGATTCCGCCACCATCGCACCAGGTCTTTGCTCAAAGAGGCGCCTACTGCCATGGCTGTGTTCAGGAAGCAGAAGACTTCAGATGTTCAGCGTTGGGAGCCTCCTTGGCCATCCTCTTTGATCAAGTCCTGGCAGGTTTGGAACTCAAACGCGCAAAAACGCGAGATTACGCAGGCCCCGCCTGCGAGAAAATCGAAAAGGTTGAGGAAGACAGCGAGGAGGTGAAGAGTGCCCCGCCTGCGCCCTCTCCAGCTCAACCTCATCAGCCGATTGCTCTTGCTCTCTTCCAGAGTACTCTGAGCGGCTGTTCCGGGAGCCAGGAAGCAGCGTCCCGTCCTTCTCGTCGACTTTTCATCAACTTGCTCAACTGGTGAGGGAGTATAGGATCTCGCCAGGAGCGGCTCTCTCAGGGCGACCTTTCGGCTCGCCTCTTTGACGTTCTGGGGTAATAGGTCTCCTACTCCTTAACAATCGAGAGCGCAACCTGTGTCCTTCGACAAAAGGATCAGCTTTGAGCCGTTGACTGCAACGGCCTTCCCTGGCCGTGGGCCTGGCCCCGTGGCGCTCTCTTGAATTCAACATCTCTCCTTCATAAAACCCAGTTGCACCAACTTCCATGGGAGCTTTTGTTGAAATGAGAGCAACCTGCAGCGGAGTCTTCATCAGCATCCTCGCGAACATGCACGAGAGGACCCTCTAGACAACTCCGACTCACTCCGCGCGGGAGCTCGAATCGCACTGTGCTTTCCTGCCTTTCTTCTTTGACAGTGGGCTCTTTCCCTGCTTTTCAAGAGGCTCTGTTTTGAGGAAGTCGCGCGCCTTTGAGATTGCTCAGCCAGATGCTCCTTCAGCATCCTGCGAGGATATCCTGATACCATTGTTGGCCGCACATCGGCACTAGCTCCACTGATTTTGGGAGCGTCTCCAACGAAAATCTGGCTTCCATGGCATCTGCAGCTAACTTAAGTTCAACAATTGCTTTCCCCATCTGATGACGAGGTCTGGCAAATTTCTGGCCACAAAGCTTCAAAGGATAAGATTTTTGCCAAGACCCAACATGAAGCAATAGCCTCGCCTTGCACAAAGCTGGAGGTCCTTTTGCAGATGTCGAAGCAGCAGCCTTTGGTGGAGCTCGTGGGAGACATACCATGCATAGCGCCTATCTGATACACCTTCATGCTGACCTGAAAAGTATCACTCGCTCAACATCCTCCCGCGCCAAGACTTTGACTATACCGACTCCTCGGGGCCCACTGGCGCTGTCTCTACATTCGTACTCGAAGTAGGACGGAGAAGGTTCACTCTTGAGATTCTCCACCGCGACCTCAGATCCCGAACGCCTATTGGGCCTCGAGGAGAAGGTAATTAACTAAACCTTCAAGATCCTTTGGCATCCTTTGGTCTATTGTCAGACACGATCTCCGGGACCACCCTGTGGGCTAGTCCCAAGGACTCTTTAAAGTCCTCCAGCACTTCAAGGGCCACACACTCAGCACCACAAAGGTCCCTGAGTCTGTGTGGCAAACACGCTCCGGCTCCTCACTGAGCCAACACTACACAAGGTTCGTATGCGTGCATATCCCTGCTCTGCACAAAACATAACCATGTATATATATATATACACACATTGGCATCATCTGTGTTCATATGTTGTCAAGCCTTGTCAATCGAGTCTTTTGTGGCTCGGTCCATTTCTAGATATAGTTTCTCTTCTCCTTGTTCAGCTCTTCCTGTGTCAAATGTAGGCTACTTAGCAAAGTGACAAAACCATTGGAGAGCTAGCAAAAATCAAAATTAAGGTTGTTGAATGCTGAAATCCGAAAAAGAGGGTATTCATCACGACTAAGATGAGACACAAAAGAGGCACTCATCAATAATGGAAGGGCTGCTGCATTAAGTGAGCAGAAATGATTGCAGTTAATCAAGCTAAAATAGGCAGAAGAAACATGGAAGGAACAGAGCAATTCAGAAAAATGTTAGTCACGAAATTGTGGAGAAACAATCAAGGTCTCAAAAAATGCATATTCGCCCCAGCTTACTAGCTGGATCTTGGCAATAATTTCCTATTGGTTCTACACTTTGTAGTAGCCAGAGCATGTCTCATAAGTTGTGGCTGCTCATCTGCAGCTCGACGTGTACAATTCTATGTCATTCTAAAACAAGCAAAGAACAAAATGCAGTTTCCTGAAATCCAGGGGATATCAAAGAAAATAAAGAACAGCCAAAAAAGCAAACAAACAAAAAAGAACGGCCTGACTCAGCCAAACATAGCTCTTTATTGATGAACTTGATGAAACATTGATAGGACACTGGTCATTGGATGTGGCAACTCTAGTCATCAATCGCAAGGAAGAAGGTCCGTGTATATGCACGGAAACTTCATGAAACATCAAGGCCCCCCACCTTGTCCACCAAAGCCTTTGAATGTCTTATTTTGGCAAGGTGATCTTCCTTTAAACCTATCAAAACCAACGATGTGTGTTCCGAACGCTGGGTTCGTCGGAAAACAAAGAATCTAAATGAGTTTTCCTGTCCACCACTTGCTTCTCTTGCTTTTAGCTTTGGCAGGATGCACCACCGACAAGGGAAAACAGCATATGCTACCAGCGGCTTTCAGAACTTTGGGGTCAAACCAAAAACTGTTAGTAGAAAGGAGTTGCTGATGGTAGGGGGATTGGGACACAGGTCTTCAGCCGCCCAAGGGGTCATTGGGCGAAGCGATGCGCAAACTAACATGTGATATGGAAAACCTGTGCGAGAAAACACGTCAGGGGTTCACATGCCACACAGGAGGCACAACTGCAATGTGACACCGGCTTGCATGCAAGGACGCGTGTTTGTCGAAATACACCACAGAACAATTAAACGTGAATAGCAAACCCATTGCTTTCCCTCCTTCAATCTTTTGAGGCACTCGGCACTTGCAACACAGTTCAGGCTCAAGGAACCATTCCTTGTATACGCCGTTCCGCCTTCATCCGATTCAACAAGAGCATTACCTTGGAAGCAAGAAAACAAGCCCTGAATTTGACGTGGCGCTCAAAAGGGCAGGACCTACCTGCCAAAACTCGATCGAAACTGAGCCACCGAAAAGCAACGAATAGTCTTCAGAACCTCCGAGCAACTAGAAAAAGGCATTCTACAAATCAATTAATCCAGCCCAGTTGCGGCATGGGGCACGAAAGAAAGGCCCAGAGTGACCCAAACCTTGCAGCGTGGGCCCGAGGAGGATATGAAGCACTAAGCTGCAGCTTCCTGTGTCCTGGTCTCTCTCCCGCACCCACAAACTCAACCAGCAAACCAAGCAGAATACAAAAGTAGCAAAGCACAGCACAACACAGTCGCACCACTCTGTCAGTGGATAGCTTGATCAATACAGGTGGAGGGCAGTGAGTAGCAGCATGCCAAAGTCAACAAATATATGTATATATATAACATTATATAACTATATATATATATATCCCAACAATCATCACACACAAAGATGTAAAGTTGAGTTAGAAAGGATATAGTGTATAGTGACAACGCAAGCAGGCATCCAAGAAAACTGCTGGTGTATCACGAGCTATAAGAACTTGCAAACCCTAGCTGGTACATACTACGCCACAGAGCTGCGTGTTTGACTCACTTGAGTTTAGATTTGGATAATTCTCATGGCAGTGTTTGCAAACGCTTCTCCCTGACTGAGTCCATCAGACAGAAGACTTTCTAGCAGTGATATCAAGAAAGCTGCAGCTTCGGCGCACAAAACCAAAACTAGCCAAGTGTTTATTCCTTCACGAGGCCGTTTGATTTGCAACTTTGGGGGGACGGTGGAAGGGGACATGGTCATGGTTGGTTTGCCGCACACGGAGGAAATCCCAAATTGGCTATGAACCAGCTAAACAAAATGCTTGGTTCGGCAGGCTGAACTTCAAAAATTGGACACATTTGGTTGTGTAACGGGTTTAGTGAGTTTAGTGGCTTACTGGTGGCTTTGACTGCAAGTCTAGCCACCATTGAGCCACCAAAGACTTATACTAAGGAGAATCGGTTGAGCCAAGATCCAGGAGATGTGTCTTTGTGCACGGTGAGTCATACCAGGGATGTTTTGAGGTTTGCAGATCTGTTACAAGATGTTACAAGTGTCATTCTTCATTCTTCCGGCCATAATGTTGTTGAACTTAGAGGTATTTTGTTTACTTTTGGGTGGATGGAAAAAACAGCAAAATGCAAGATAGATGGATGGGTACCTCTACATGGTGTTCCCTTTTATATTCTAACTTAACGGACTCGACGAACAAGCATACACTGCAAGCCCAACACGCACTGTAAGCACAACTTGTTCAATTGTGTAGCGCTTCATGGCTGAAACCGTGGCTATAATGTGCTAGTAGTAGCGTCCTTGCTCCTAGTAGCGATGCCCTTTGCTCCTAGTAGCTTCTTGTTCCTAGTAGCAAGGCCAGGAGCTCCTAGTAGCGTACTTGCTCCTAGTAGCGTTGTGCAAGCCTTAGTGACTTAGTGTGTCTTTCGGTCTTTCTGGCCAGCCCCATGCGTAGCAATTTGGACAGCGGCCATTGCTTACAGCATCGCATGCCGCAGTGTGCCTTATGATTGAGCTTGCGGTTTCGGTATCAATGCGCGCACAACTGGGAATTGCCGATGCCTGTTCTGAAGCTTCTGCTTGATGCCCTGAGGCTACTGGCGCAGTTGGATGCGCTATTGGCGCCGGCAAAAGTCGGATTGCGTTGCTGCTCGGAAGAGCACAGATTCGAGGTCACCCCAAGTGGCAAGCCAAATACAGGTTGCTGCAAAACTAGCATATGCTCTCAAATATAAACAGGAGCAGTACCCAAACAGGCAAATCCAAGACAAATAGCAGCAATAGGAAAGGAAACCAACAACAAGGCAAGCCACCAGCTTGCAAGCCAAAAGCTTTCGCTGACTTGGAGAAGAGGGCAAAATGCCAAAGACCCCCAAAAATCTACCAACAACCAACATCACGTCACAAGCGTGCTTAGTTGAGCTAGAGGATAGTGTTCTCTCCCATGCAGCCAAGCAACACGCTCTTCCCTTCCTTTCGGCATCATTGGGTCTGTAAAGAATGGTTGGATCTCGTCTGCCAGAACTTGGTCGATCAAGTACTTTGTAAGCCTAAGCTAATGTGCAAACATTGGTTTAGACTGGCTCAGTTAAATAGCTGCCAGGTCACATTACCTGCCACAAGTATGAAAAATTCCTGACCTGATGTCCGCACAGATTCAAAAGTGCCAGCAACTTGTATTTGGCAAGTGTTGTCGGCCTGATCCGTGAGAAGGTTATAGGTGGCTGCCTTGCGCACATTCTTGTCCTGACAGTAGGGAAGGGAAACTCCCAGCTTTGCAGAGATATGCCCAGATATGCGGCAGTGGCAACGTGCCTTCAATGTCATCCTCAAGTACTCTTTCCAAAGAACCTTAAGTTTCAAGCACAACCTTGCTACCTCTCAGCAAATTGACCCCCCTCACGTTCAATGGGAGAAAAAACCACATTGTCAGCAGGTATTCACTTCAGCTGTGTACAGCAAATAATCAAGGCCAAACAAGAGCTGACAAAGCCCTTGGGAAATCAAATGCAATCACTATATACAGCACTTGAAAGTTGCTGCACATCCGTCGAAGGCAAACTTATAAGTATCTATGAGTCCCATTGGTGAGGACCAGGGAAAGTCTTGGAAGGACAGAACCTGTCTCCAACCACTTGGAATGGACGCCTAAACTTCATTGTATTATGCCTCATCTAAGGGGAACAAGCTGGTGTCTTGCTTGAACTGCGGGGAAAAGGAAATCAAAAGACCTCCAAAAGTCCTTTGGTTGGACCCTGAAGACGAGTCAAAGCGTTCATTTTTCGAGGAAACATAATTATATATACAGTAGATTCCACTACCAATAGTCGTCAGCCAGTCCCCAGCGGCAATAGCATCAGTACAGCGCGCCATACGCCTGTACAAGGCCCAGGCCCCCAAGCTTCCAGCTGCAACTTGTCAGACCAAGAAGCCATAGGATGTATTTCTGCAGCCCTGTCTCTGCGAAGGAGGTCATGGTTCCTCTGGGTCAATAGCATCTGATGGGAGAGATGGCGAGCACTGAATGACTAGGATTACAGTCAGCGCTCCTGTTTGTCGGGAATGTGTCATCGTCAGCAACCACGACCCTGCACACACTCAAGTAGTTTCCCAGAACGGCATTCCACGGCCTTGCTGCGCCAAAATTGGGCTGACGTCCTTTTCAATTCCAAAGCATGTTGGGGACATGAACACGCTTATTGAACATATGCTGGAAGCTTTGCTTTCCAAAGTCTCCCTCCGTCCAATTCCACTCTCCAATGCCAAAGACATGCCTTCTGTTGTACCGAGGCACATCACCAAGCGAATTCCAAACTCCAAAGTTGCCTCAACACCCGCAGTGTGGACATAAAGCAATGCCCAGCGGCCGTCAAGGTTTCCCGAGAAATCTAGGAACCAAATCAAGCATGCAAAGGGTTCTTCTGCGTTCCTTCTTGTTTGGTGTGACAGTTTACCTTCTTTCCCTAGCTCTTCCTCATCCCCAACCCTCCGGCCAACTTACAGCCTACCCCACCCAAAAAAATAAGCAAACTAGAAAGGGGAAGTCAAGGAGTAGTGAAGAGTGGGTGGGGCGACCACGGTGGGCACGACTGGTTGATACGAGTACCTCCACATCATCTTCGAGGGGGCAGGCTCTAAGTACAAAAATGAGTCAGCACACCATCGACTTGAAATTGACTTGAGCCATACCTCCGTGTTTTATTCTTGGGACAAGTCTTGAAAAGCATGAATGTTCCGTAAGTCTGTTGCAACCTCAAAACATACATAACCTCAAGCTCCAACTCCTGCAGAACTACCCTTTGCATGTCAACCATGTCAATAATGTACTCTGAGCTCAACCCCATGAGCACAATCATCCGGACGCACCCCTCACCAAAGAATCACTCTGGCCTCAAAGGACTCATTTTCAATGAGTTTGATCTCGAGAATTTTGAACATTTCGCCTGCATGGCTGGCTGTGGCGGCATGGACGGCGCAACCACAAAGCTTCTGTATTATACTGTGCGGCCTCTTTCAAACCTGATGGTTCCCTTGGCCCCGACATACTTGACATCCCTGACAGCAGAAATGTCAAAGGTGTGGTAGTCCACCTGAGATGCAAACAATAGTCTCCAGAACGATTCCACTCACGCAACTCCAGCCATGCTGCAGAGCACTCGTCCTCATCTTCACCTAGTCGGATAACCTTGGCACTGTAAAATGCCTTGCTGTAAAGAGGAACCGTGCATCCAAGCCAGCCTCCACGCGGACGCTACCTTCTGCTTCACTGCAATAATATATATCGCTCGAAAACTGAACAATGTCCTTGGCATACTGACTCTGCATGTCAGCATCCAACTCCCATCTGTATCAGCAGTGTTTTCTTCTGAGGCTCTGGAAAGTCTGAAGTGGACACCTTTTTCCTGGCAAGATGCTCCCAGACTTGTAATGGCATGACTTCAAGTTATTTTGACTTGCTAATCTGCTATCACTGTAATATATATATATATATAATGCAAGCGGCCTCGCCTCGCCATGCTGCGAACACTGCCATCATTGCCCACCGGGGGTTGCTGTTCCGATACTCGCTGATAAGATATTGACTGCTGAGGCTGAGCACTCACTATCCGATGCCACTTCTTCCCATGACGTGTGAGCCCAAGAATTGACGATGATGTCATGTGTGTGTGTTGTTCTTGTCTTTTTCTATATGTTTCTTGTGTTTTCATCTTTTTGGTTCCTAAGCTATGCATCCTACATAGGCAAATACCAAGCAAACACTTGGGGCACGGTTATGCCAAGGCGATAGAGCAACATGTCAGAACAGGTCGGAATATTACTCAACCATCACCAGAAACGAGTGCAAGCAGAACGTCGTACCAAACGTTTGTCAGAACAACTTCCAAGAACGTCAAAGTCTGGGGGGGGAGCAAGATCTGAAGAGATTGCACCAGCTGCGCAATGCAGTGTGCAGACCGCACTTTCAGTTCTGCAAAGGCTTTCAAACTCCTCGCGTTGGTCAGGCCAGAAGACCAAAATTTAGCAACTCTTGAACCAAGCAAATCAACTACTCCTTGCTGAGTCGTAAAGCCCTGCCACTGACTCAGGCTCAACCTGATCCCCAAGCAAAGAAAAGAACATTGGGAACAGGTTATATATAATATATAAAAAGTATATAAAAGATTATCAAAGTATAGTATAGTTACACAAGTGCGATTGAGATGATTGAATGATATTGAATGATCCAGAATGTGTGATCCATCTTTGGTGCTGAGCTCTTTGCAGTATCCAAAGATAGATGCAGCTGTTCCTTTACGAGATTTGGAAGGTCGTAACCTGATGGACGAAAGCCCGCCGCAGGTTCGAGCTGGCCACTGTTGCGGTAGCAAAAAGTGTAAACCTCTGTGAATCCTGTGTGAATCTCAACTGAAAGTACTTGTTATACAAGTGCGGAACAGCCCATCTTGGGCAGCAGGTCTTTGGCTTGGAGAAGGACATCGCAAACCTTGAGTGGTGGCTTAATCTTTAAACGTCTGGAAGCTTGCCAGAGCAAGACCTCAAGCGAAGCTCTGAGGGAAAAACGAGCCTGCCTGCCAAAAGATTACTGCCGACCTAGAGAGAAGAGTTTGACACCAAAACTCCAAACCAGATTGTATCCAAGTACCAGGCCCAAAACCCTTGACCTTGGCGGCCCTCGGTGCGAGGAACTCGGTCCTGCAGTCACTTCAAGCCTCTGCTTGATGCTGGACGGCTGGAATTTGTTGATTTCAAGCTTGGACCGAAAAAGAAACCAATTGGATCCATAATTATCACTTCGTTGCGTAATACTGGGCCAATAGCACGTGCGGTAGTGCTCAGTAGCTCAGCTGGCGGAGGCCGCGCAAAACCGCATGGCACAGCGACATCACAGACACAATTTGGCCACACGGTGTGCCACAGACTGGATACACCAACGTAACACCAAGCCTCGTGGACACCGCCAATCATCCCGCTCCCCTGCGACCCAAACAGACCATGTTGGGCCCAGCTTCAGCCCAAAGCAGAGGCTATTTGCCAGCAACTTGGAGTCAAACTAGGCCCATTTGGGCCCAACTTGGACCAAGTTGACCTCAACATGGACCCGAGGGAACATGGTCAGAAAGGTGCTCCATGAGGGCCAATTTTGTGGGCTGGGCTCAACTGTGAACCAATGAAACAATTCAAGCACCATGCTGATACTATCCTGGTGCGGGTGTTGGTCGTCCCAGACATGAATCATATCAAACATGTTTGACCGTTTCTTGTTTTGATAGTTCTTTGCTTCACAATATTCTGCTGTTGTTTCTGCCAAAATGGTTTTCAACTCAAAGCAGAATACACTGAGCAGCCAACCAGTGCGCCTTTTTTGTGTTTCCACGCATAGACATAGGTACAGCGCATGTGAATGGAGTTTCAGCCCAGCCAAAAACACCACTAAATAGACCCAAATCACACAACCCAATCTCAGGCAAGAGAACTGGGGCCCCAATGCAAGAAGGCAAGGTTGTAAAACTTGGAGGGCAGCCCGCTACCAAAGATTACCGGACAACATCAAATCAAATCCACGGACGCCACAAAATACTCCACACCCCCATCCGCACACTAGGCGACGACTGCTTAGTAGAGTTTTCGGCTTCAACGCTGCTAAAGTATCGCTGTCGCAAGCAACATCCAAAAACGACAAAAATAGACTGCTTTGTCAAATTCATCGACGTTGGCATATGCAAGCATTGCAGCGGACCTCCACTCTCTAGCCTGCATTACCTGAAAAAGGTGGTGGCCTTCATGGGCATAGGTATCAAAAAAATAAAAGAGCGTCAAAAAAATAAAAACAGGATCAAAAAAATAAAAAGCGAATCAAAAAAATATTCCTTGAAAGGCCTCTTCTGCTGCTCTCCTGGCCTTGTGGTCTGCGGGTCCTCTGGTAATGTGGTCCCTTGGTCCTTTGGTCCCTTGGTCCTCTGGTCCACTGGTCCTTTGGTCCCCTGGTCCCTTGGTCCTTTAGTCCACTGGTCCCCTAGTCCTCCGGTCTCCTGGTCCTCTGGTCCTGTGGTCCGCTGGCCTGGTCCGCTGGTCTTTTGCTCTCCTACGGCGCTCGTCTGTCGATCTCCTGGTCCCCTGCTTGCGCAAATAGAGGATTGATTGCTTTCTACTAGAGGCAGCTCCCTGGGAAGAAAGTAGGTACCCAACGATAAGGTAGCCGTCCAGTCATTGAGTAGCCCTACTCGAAAAATGGTTCACCAGTGGAAATAGCTCCCTACTAGGAGGGAGCTCCTGACTACCCCAACCATCCTCAGTGGGCTAGAATATGTTTTTTTGATTACCTTTTAATTTTTTGTTTGATCCCCGTTGAATATTTTTGTTTGCTTCTATTTTTATTTTTATGTTGATCCCTTACCCGCCTTCATGGGCCCAAAAGTTGAAAGTGGTGCTGTCAGTCACGGTGGAGCATGAACGAGCAACGTGCGCAGGCAAAGGTGCAGGAAACCAAAGGCTCCATGTTGCAACGGTTCATGCTTTGCAGCTTGCGGATGCTCTGGGCCCCGCAAGCCATTCACATGTCTCAGCAGTCCCGATTTGCAAACCTGAAAGGTCACACTCGAAAGTGGCTTGAGGCTGTGGCACACTTTTGCCACAAGTCTTAGGGAATTCCGAAAACCATTCTTTTCCTCGCAAAGCTGAAAACGATGTCTGCATGTTTCGCTATTTTCGGTATTTGGATGTGCCACGGAATTGGTAGTGCTGGACCCCCCACTTGAAACGAAAACTCCCAGGGAGCTGGAGGTGCTTAAAACTTGGACTACGGTTGAGATTCCGTGCCGTGCCCCACCTTTGACGCTGCAAGTACTTGACGCCCTGTGTAGCTTTGATTCAGTTTCACAACACGCTTAAGCTTGGCAGAAGGTGTTTCAATCGATTGCTTAAGAGCAGGAAAAGATGCCTGGAGATGCCCGAGCAAGATGGCTCAGGTCATGAGGCCACATCAGGCACTACAGGGCCGAAGCTAACAATTTAGCCGAAACGCCAGAGCGGTTCTTGCAGTTGCCTGGGCCAGCTTTGCCTTGTCGACAGGCTCTGACAACGCGGCGAACTAAAGCGGCAGCTGGCAAGGAATCAGGTAGCTGCAGTTTATCCAAATTTGCTTCCGTGACGCCACTGGCTACATTCAGATCTGACACTTTAGCAACATTGGCAAGAAATCGAATTGCCTCGTGGCACTTCATCTAGAAGTCGATCCATGTAGCGGCCATTGGCTCACCGGAAACAAAGTAAGGAAAGAAGAAACTGCCAGGGTAAGCAAGGGAATCTATCTTTCATGCTTGTGTCCACCACAGAAAAGAGATTAAGACACCCCGAACCTACAGGCTGTACCCGTCTCCTTCATCCGCCTCAAGCGCCCCAGCTTGTGCCACTGGTGGACTTTCAGCCTCACACAAGGGCGCTCTACACTGGATCTCAAGTCTCGAAGAGATCCTAGGCGTTTGAGCGCTGACCATATTCAGGATTCAACAAAAGTTAGTAGGGTTTGAGTTGACCCTCTTGCAAGTGCCAGGGAACGTGAAGTCAAAACCAAAATCGGCTGGAGTCAGATCCGCTGAGGGGCTGGCTGATGGAAGCGAGCTGCCAAAATGTCAAGATCACAGGCGTATGCATTGTGACCTCTTGTACAATCAAAGGCATTTTATTTGCATGGTGGATCATCAAATCGCTCAGGCCTGCAACAACATCTGGATCAAATTCCTGCACCTAGACCAACGAAGACTCGAGCATGCTTGACAGCATCTAGGTAGATCTAATCCTTTTCCACCCACAAAGGCAAGCTTTGCCACATCCCTGCTATACTACACAAAACCCAGTGGCCTTGGAGAGAAACAACGAAAGCAGGTGCAGCTCATTGTTGCAGCTCTGAATCCCAGCGTGAGCAAGAACCTTCGAACAACAAAGTGCACATGCGTGAATGATGGATTCAAATGCACAAAGAAAGCAACTCATAAGCTCATCACATGTATCCTACACAGTTTCTGGGACAAGCCAGCCTTGTCGGCATCTCGAGGCAATGGATTGCTATCAAGCCGACGAATTGCTGCCCATTTGCCATGTCCAGATTGCGAAGCACCCGAAGCGTCTGGACTTACATTGGGGTGCAGTGTACAGGCAACTGCAAGGACTTCATGCGGCGCTTGTGGATTCTGCTGGACGGTCTGCAAAGACACACTCATTAACCGAAGAGGGGGGCTGATTGATGGCATCGACTTTGCCAAGTCCTTCTTATCTTCCTCGGTCTTAGGTGGGTGAAATGAAGCAGGAGTGATGCGAAACTCCTTTGCACAATAAGAGAGTCGCGCGGATTCCTGTCTAAAGGTTCCTGGCTTCAACCGAAGCCAGCCCGGGCCCATAATCTGTTTGGTCAGCACCAGTCTTTCCAGGAGGGAAGTCTGGATTCCAAAAGCATGGCTGAAATTCTCTCCGGACAAGATGCCAGGGAGGCCACCAGATGCATCACAAACAACTTTCAAAAATGGTAGGTGCCCAAGGCCCTGGGGCAAAGCTTTTTCAAAAGCATAATTGCGCCATTTGAGCTTGCTTCGCAACTTCCTGGCATTGGGACACTGTTTCTGGCACATGGCATCAAACTCCCTGTCAGCTGCTGCAGCTGCCATCTTTACGGCCTCTGAATTTTGCTCAATGTCTGATTGATCCACCTTCAAAAGGAGGTGAACGCAGCGCTCCAGCTTCTCAACCACTAAGCAGCAGCTGCAAAAGCGTCCATTGACACTCTGGACTTTCCCGAAGAGGTAGACTCTTGGAGGGCTGGATCTGTCATCTTCAAATGCATCAACGAAGAAAAACCACAAACCTCCTTGCTCATCCAGCTGGGCTTCTGATTGGTCACCATTTGCGATCAACTCTTCACTTGGCAGATTCGGTCCGCTTGTCACGGACAAACCTGAAGGCTCTGTGGAAGGTGCGGATGCGGACTCAACGGGCTCGGCCATGCGCTCCTGTCGAGGGGGGCACCTTGGGGCCTTGACTGGAATTAGAACATAATTGATTGAACATTGTTGGTCAGAAAATCGGAAACAGTTGACAGGTGCATGATGTGCCTCCGTTTGTGCAGCCTTTTGACGAAGGGATGCAGCCTGCAATGAATTTTCTGCTCTGACAAGCAGGGTTCACACTGTCACTTGGTGTACTGGTCTTGAAGCTATCACCTGAGCATCTACCGGCTTCATCTCCACATCCACCGCCACATTTTCGTGCTTAAGTTTGGTTTCCTGCAACAAAGTTTGCTATAGCAACCACATCAGCAAATTTCCACATAGAAGGAACTGACAATTCCTGAAGATTGTTGAAGATCATTCATGTTAACAGAAAAGTTTGAACATCCCTCCTTAGAGAAAAGTTCTTGGACAGGAGGTGCATTGTTGGCTGTGACCAACCCCGTGACCTGCCTTATCCACACAAAGAAAAACTGCAAGAAAAACATTTCCGAAACTCCATAGTTACTGTACTTCCAGCAATCCCTACCCTGAGAGGCGATTTGGAAGAAGGCAGGGTACATGTACTGACAAACTAGCCTGACAATAGGCGGACTTGCCGATTGATTGACACAATGTTCTGACGTTTGTTCTGGCATCGAGTCTGGTTTAGTGCTCTGACACATCGTCTATCATATAGGCTGGGACATGTTCTGGAGTGTGTTCTGGCGTCCTTGTTGGCGTGTGTTCTGACATTTTTCCTGCCGTGAAGTCTGACATGTGTTGTGACATATGGTCCGACTTCGGACCTGGCATGTGCTCTGACCTGTAATTCGACATTTGTTCTGTGAAGAAGCTGTCTAGCTGGCATATACAGTAAATGTCCCGATTCCATCTGGCATACATTCTGCCATACAGGCTGGCACTCTATGTGAATCGGGCATATACTCTGGTAGTCTATCTGGCATGTATGCTGGCACTCTCGCTGGCATACATTCCGGAGTTCTATCTGGCATATATTCTGGTGTGCATGCTGGCATTCTCTCTGGCATATAGTCTGGCATTCTTTTATATATTCTACCGCTCTATCTGGCGCGTACATTCTGGCGTTCTATCTTGATTTTTTTGCATTCTATCTGGCCTGTGATCTAGCACTTGCAGTTGAGGTCCAGTGGTGCTCACTGTGATCCAGCACTCGCGGTTGAGGTCCGGTGTTGCCCACTGCGGTCTGGCACTTGCGGTTGACCGGGCGGCGGAGCGGGACAGCACTGATAAAATTATCTAACAACTCACCTGGCAGGTGGCGGCTGTCCGCTCTCCTACTCCCCACTCCTGAGTCATATGCTTGGCCTTGCAGGCTAAGGACACTGCGTACTAGGTGGAACGCTGACATTTGGCTCGGCCTGGTTCAAACATCTTTCAAGGTCAAAAAGTCGAACAGTTCAATCTCCTGAGCAATTCTAACTTGTCCACAAACACAGCAAGCAAGTCATTGACTTTTGCTGGCCTTCTTGTCTGGAGAAGGGGTGCCAGCTGCCTCCAGTCAAGAACAGAACTACACAGGTGCAGCGGTGCAGTGGGTGATTAGGGAGACGACAACTCAAGCAAGCAGTATACCCAAAGGAAGGTATGACTATAATCTTCAAAAGGAGCACTCAGAGCTTGAGTCAGCTGCACCCTTCTGAAGGGCGCCCAGAAATTGTGCCTTGGTTCTGCGCCCCCCGTGCAAGCCAGCTTTCATCCTTTGCACCCAGTAGAACCGAACTCACACACTGAGCTTGGCACTCCACGATCTGATGGTGAGAACGGTGTCTCCTCGTTCGCTGTGCGCTTGAGATTGAAACACTCGTTCTACGTGGAGACCAATATCAGGCTGCATAAAAACTTGAAGAGACTCCTTGGACCTCTTTGACTTCTTCGGTGGGTCAAAATGCATGGCAAGCAGCTTCCTGTGGAGTTGGATCGCTGGTGTGCATCTCCTCTTCTATAATTCAAGGAAGTCTCAACGCAAAGCTGATTGGAATGAATTGGAACCTCTCGAGTTCCTCCTCTTGTTTTCTCCGTCGTGCCTAGGGCTGTCAAGAAGAACCATGTGGCTGCCAAATTGCAAGAAGCTCTGAGATGTGGGCAACCTCAGGGCCTTGCCAAATTTCTCCACCACCTTGCGGTGTTTCGCGATGCAAGAGAGAGATTGGACGTGTCCTTGTCAACCGTCTTGCAAGCCGAAGAACCATCAACGTAGCCCGAGTCTTTGGCACCCACCACCTAAGCAGCTTCTTGTTCCTAGTAGCGATGCCAGGAGCCCCTAGTAGCGTCCTTGCTCCTAGTAGCGATGCCCTTTGCTCCTAGTAGCTTCTTGTGCCTGGTAGTAAGGCCAGGAGCCCCTACTAGCGTCCTAGATGCACTATGACACACCGGTAGCTTTTGGCCTGTTCATCAACAAGGTTCAGTAAGGGCCAAGGGTATTGTCCATCTGTCGCGCTCAGCTTTGAGACAAAGCTCAGCATATTCTATATAAAATATGTTGCTGTAAAATAAACTGCGCATCATGATAGGAAGCAACGTTTCTATAATTGAATCCACATAGCCTCGGGGCGGAATTCATGTGGCATCCAGGGCCAGAGCCCATCCAGATCGGCGGTCAGCAACAATGTCCCGGAACTCCTCCTCACTTACCTGTCCGTGGTTGTGGCCACTACATAACTGTATCAGGGATGGTATCAGGAATCGTGCTGCTAAAACATGTTCACTCCACTGATGCCCATAGTATGTATCTAGGCCTTCTGGAGAATCTGTTTGGCTTCCTCCAAAGGTACACTTTGAATAGTTCAACTGAGTAAAGCCCTTTTCTCAATCTACACCAGAAGGGGCGCTGTCCGGAACCACGTATTGCTCCACGCAGGAAGCCTGTCCTTCTCCTGACATGCACCAATTGAGTTCACATGTTCATGGATCAGGCAACTGAGTACCAAACTGGCAGCCCGCATCCGGGCAAGTGCAGCTTTACGTGCATCCATGCCGGCCAGGCCTGGCAAGATCCCAGAAACGTGTGGATTTAGGTTGAATCAAGGCACAGCCTCTGCCACCCCTAGACGCCCTGCTCGGCAATTGGAGCCAACCAATCAGGAAATCAGAAGTGCTGATGTGGTTCTTCCTCTTTCGGGTGGTTTTATTTAATGTCCTTTTGGCCTTTTCAATCTATATATATATATATATAAGTATACATGATGTGTTTTCTCTCTTGAGCCAAGCCTGTTCGCCTGCAAAAGCTGCTTCTAAAACCACAAAATCTGAATCCACACGATATTGCAATACACCACTGTGCCACTAGGACAAAAGTTTTTCTGTTTGGTTCCAAATTGAGAACCCTTTCCCCATAGAATCCTGCAAGACGCTGATGTCCCCTCACGGTCGAATTTCCTCCCTCCAAAGCTATTTAATTGCTACTAGTAGCGATGCCCTTTGCTACTACTAGCTTCTTGTTTCTAGTATGGCCAGGAGCTACTAGTAGCTTCTTGCTCCTAGTAGCGATTGGAAAAAAAATCAAGGAGGGTGACAATTGACCGTCCTACACTGGCCACGCGAAATGGACTTAATTAGACCGCGACTAATCCACATAGATGTTAGACCCGGACTCAGTAAGGATAAGAAACACGTTTTTCCTGAACTATACAGACTATACATGTATAGTTTTTACCTATACGCATTTAAAAGTTCCCCCGTGCTGGCAACCAGGATCCACTGTCCACCCCGGCATGAGCATCTGCACGTCTTGTTTTGTTGCAAGCTGCAAACGCGATGTGTGATTGGCACAAGCCTTTTGCTCGTTTGGGCACACAGCAGTTTCGTTTTGGCGACTAGTGGGTTGACATTATCACCAAGGCCCTCAGCCACCTTGCAACTCTTGCTGCATCCTCGGCCAAAATATGTGGCAAACATGCTTTGATGTTTACAATCAGCAGCATTCTGGCAGTTGGTCGTTGTTGATTTGGGGCCAAGACTTGATCAAATGCTTTTGCTTCTCCTAAGGGCGGTAAAGCAAGGCCAAACCCAAGAGCCTCATAGCAAGTCGCAGCTAAGGCTGAGGCCCCAAGTTCTTTCTCTTTCTCTTCAATTATCTTGTTTGACCTTCATAATTAAACAGAACTGAAGCAGCGTTATGGCCCACTCAGAAACCCAAATTGTAAACTTAATCATTATGGTCATTTGGTGTTTGTCACTTCCCCTCCACCAGTGATTTCTCTTGAAGCCCTTCCGGCCTTTCCAGTTCTCCGGAAATGTACTCTAGGCGCTTGGTCACATTTCCCTCGGTCGAGTTGGGCTGACTAGAAGGCTTCCACCCAACAGATTCAGCGAAGTTCCCACCTTGGCATCATCTACATTCTGCTTGACCATCACCTCACCAAAGCTGCAAGGATGTCCAATCTGCTGGGCTTACTTTCCCCACCAACAGAAAACTTCATGCTGCGGCAATCAAGGCGGACTGCGGCAATCAAGGCGGACAAGCTGCTGGGCCAACCAGTTTGTACACAACAGCATCTTCCTCGAACGACTGGAAGGAAGTACTGTGAATCTTGATTGGAGGCCGCCAGCACTTTTGCTTTGTGGGAAGGGACCGAACAGAGTCTCAAATTACCAGTATAGACAGTATAGACCCCAAAAAGTTTCAAAACGATTCGTTTGGACCAATGTCAAATCAAAAACGATTTCTTGGTACGCCCTACCTTCCCCCCCAAGAGCAAACTGTTTCATCAATGACTTTTCTCGGCGTCGACATCGCCATTTGTTCGGCCACAAGAGAAAACAAGAGAAGAGAAGGACAAGACCTGGCCACAGAGCCCAGCCACAGAGTTCGGGGGCGCGGCCAGTCAGTGTGGCTAGGGCTGGTCAGAACGGCCTGAGGACAACAGCAGGACAAGAGAAGGGACAAGAGAAGGACAAGAGGAGGACAAGACCCGGCCACAGAGCCAGTCAGTGTGGCCAGCTCTATTTTTTCTAAGATAGAACCCCAACAGCAAACTGTTTGGGGAACAAAACGTGCAGCTGGTGTGTTAAAGTATGTTAAAGTGTCAGAAGGTCAGAATCCAGACTTAATACCCCACACCATCAAGCACCCTTGACACATACCAACATCACGAGAAAAGTCCAAACAAAATTACGCGTCAGCAATGCAATCTGAAAGCGTCAATCGTTCACATTGATGCAACGTCTCAAAACGAATATCTTGCAAAACAGAAACCATATATAATAGAATGGTTTCCTGTCATGTATGCAATATCCAATATGGCTATTCGCATTAGTGTCAACTCTTAGAATTTATATAGATATTCTTAGAGAGGTCTTGATGAACATGACATGTAAACACCCACAGCATGCCCAGGCACTGCAATCCGTTTCCTAAGAACCCCCAATGAGATTCAGAAATCCAAATTCGTTGGTCTCCGGCCATTTGTGAAATTGAAAGTCGTTTACTTTGTATTTTGGTGATCTTAAAGGAACGTTTGAAACCCAACATTTCTGGATTTGGGGATGTGCTTAGAGTGGCTTAGAATGAGTTAGAGTGAGCTAGAGTGACATTATTGGAAACCTGAATTAGCTTGGGAATAGGCTTCTGCCCAAATTCCACCTCAGATTCCACCCAGATCCCACCAATTTTTCGAGGACCGGATTCCTCTGTGGAGGCTGCCAAGTCCATTTAGGGAACCCCCAAAAGTTTACCAAAACACACACAACACAAGGCCTTGACATGTATCGCTCAGCATGCCAGCTTACTTCACTCACAGTAGCTTGAGCCATGAGTCGCACAGCGATCCCTTCCCTGCCTTCCAAAAGCACACAAAAACAGTAGTTTTCAAATTGTCCAACTCTAACAAATAGTGAGTTAGAGTAGAGTTAGAATAGTATTGAAACTGGTCTTGCGCGGCCAAAGGTGAGGTTTTCACCGCGTGCGGGCTTGAGCCAACCGGGGTTGGCAGGTCGAGAACTGCAAACACAGCTGGGGTGACAGTGAGAGTTCATGAACACATGCTCAAGAAAACAGCGTTTTCACACCCATTATTCTCACTGTCGCCCGGGGGACCCTTCAGCTTTTCAAAGCTGACCTTCAAGTGCCCTGAGCTCATGAGTTCCTCGAGCTGGGTGCACTTCATCCGCTTGGTCAAACCATCTGCTGCCATTGTTGCAGCGTCGATCCAAGCAACTTTATTGGTCCACTGCTGTGGTGGAGAGTCAGCAAATGTTGGATTGCCGACTTCTTCTTTCAAATCACGCCAAACATCCTGGCGGAGGGCAGTGAGATCTATGGCCAGACGCTTGTCTGTCACCTCGCTCATGCCTGGCTGGAGCAGGTGGTCAAAAACACTCCTACAATCAGTCAACCATCCAATGACGGTTGCATCACAGGCCTGCACAAAATGCTCCTTTCCTTTGGAGTCGTTTGGGTCCAAGTTGCGGACCGAAAACAGCAGCTGCCTAAGATGCTCAGCCTCTTCAGCGCCCAGCTGCAAAGCGTTTCCGCCTGCATCGTGCTTCGGCAGACCCTTTTGATTGTTGTGGAGGTCCATCCAAGCAACGCCACCGTGCCGGCGCCCTTCTCCAGGAAGTCTGGTGGAGCTAAGGCCAGGGTTCGGCCTGACTGAGACCGGTTCCCACCGAGCCGTCCCTCACCAAGGTCGGTGAAGCTTGCAGCGTGGCTACTGTCATTGAGCTTTGGGCCGTTGGCGGGGTAGAAGATGCCGCGGCTCCGAGTCTTGACAGCATAGTCCAGGAGGCGATTGGCTTCAACCAAATCTTGGATCCGAGCTTTCGCCTGAACCGTTTGCAGACGGTTGACTTCGTAGCAAAGGTCAGGACGACATGTCCTTGCCAGCCAGCTGATACTTCCCAACACGGAGCGAAGCTGTGAGATCTCATATTCAGTGCCAGGCTCGGCTCTGCGAGCTCGACGGTCGGACTCGATGAAAATCGGTTTGACCCTTGTGACTTCAATACCATGTTCAGTTTGTTTGATGGTTCTACCACAAAACTTGAATTCCTTGCCCTCAATTTTACCGAACCGAAAATTCTTCTGAACTTCATCCATGGCGGCATCCATGGCAGCATTGCCTGCCCACAAGATGTCATCGACGTGGGTGCCCAAGATGCCAGCAACTTCATTGGCAGGGCCAGGCCAGTAGTAAGCTGCCGTTTCCGATGGAATCTCTTTGAGGCCGCAGGACAAAAGAACTTCATGAAGGCGCTTCCAAAAGGATCTTGGTGCATCTGAGGTGCCATACACACTCTTCTCGGCGGGTTGATGCGCACACCTTGAAGGAAAGCAGCTGAAATGTCTCCCGCTTTCAACTGCAGGCCCATAGAGTCTGCATGAGCAAAGATGAGATTGACCATCAGCTGGGAGCAAGTTGGTGAATCTGTTCTCACCTTGCCTTCACTCTTTTCCAAGTCGCCGCGGACCACCAATCTTGACTTCAGCTGAGACCCTCTTCGGCCTTGTCAGTGTCCACCCATCTGGTGGGTACAATCTTCACATGAGGGCGCTTCTTCTTGAAGGCCGGGATGTCTCTGCCACGATGTGGACAGCTGAAAAGTCCTTCCAGTTGGTCCACTCCTTGAGTCGGCTTTTGAGAAGTCCTTGACGCGTCTTCTCATCGCAGGTGTTGTCACGATGGGCGCCGACTTGTCTCTTCTTCTTGCAGCGTGTTGCCAGAAAGCCACGGTATCGACAAGCTTCAGCGGCCACAGCCATCAGACCTCTTTCATCATTAGGCACTGGAGATTTGCTGCAGGACTGCGGGCCGGAGATCTTGAGCGTTCGCGCTCAAGTCCAGGAGGTGGTAGAAAAGGAATCTCCGGGCGTGGATAGCCATCCAATTGGTCAACTGACCGGTTTAAGGCAGTCTGCAGTGTTCCGCTGCTCATTGGTGTTGCCGGAGGTGTAGGCGGCACAGTTGGGGCACACGAGGCCTCTGATTCAGGTTGAGCTGACATCTCACGTTCCAGCGATGTAGGAGCAGGAATCTCTTCTACTTCCGCATCAGTGCTTTCAGGCACAGAAGGTAGTTCTGGAAGTAGTTGAAACGGAGTTTCAGCTTCTTCTTGGTCCGGAGGGCCAACGCTTGGCAAGTAGGAGAGTTCAGTGCCTCCTGCTTCAGTTGGAATCTCCACATAGCCCGGTTGCACATAGCCATCATCATCACCTTGAAGGGCTGGGACAACCAAATCTTCAGAGAACGGCAATGCCTCCTTTGCTGGCAGATCATCATAGTCTCGCCGTCTTCTCTTCCTTGATGGGCGGAGTTCCAACAATTGCTTGGCCAATACCTCTTGACGAGTTGCCGGTCCGCAACGATCATTGGGATCCCTGCATGGACAACCCAAAGGTTTGCACGGCCTGAGGTTCCGATGACACGGCCTGGGCCAAACCACTTGCCCTTTCGATGGAATGATGAGGTCCCCGATGTTGTAGGGTCCACGTAGAGGCATAGGAGGGCTGCGCGGGCCCGTTTGGCAGCCTGTCGAATTTCCAGCTGCCTGGTGAACTCATCCACTGGGTCATCGATACCTTGGTGCACCCCAAGGTTTTCTTGATCTTCTTCATTGGCTGTCAAGGAGCACACTTCACGAGGTAGACGGCCAAGAACCCACTGAGATGGCGTAAAGCCGTGGTGGTGAAGCCTGTTGTTCTTGACGGTGACAGCCTCCATGATGACCATCTCCATTTCTTCAATTCCAACAACTTGCTTTTCTTCGGCGATGCTCTTGATGAGGTCCTTGAGCAAGCTACCTTGCCGTTCTGTTCGGCCCAAGTTGAAATGGCGCTTCAAGACCTCCAAAGCGTAGGTCCACTCCATGAGAAGTCAGGAGCTGTGCGAACTGGCCACGATTGTGAACTCCTCGATCGACTAGACATTGTCGAGGTGGACCTGCCCAGTTGAACCATCCATCACGGAGCGCTTGAGCACAAGTGAGGCTTTTTGGAACGCCACCAGGTCCAACCCAAAAGGCTTGATGGAACAGGGTGCCAAGGCATACGACACTTAAGACGATGTGCCTGTTGCCCTTGCTGTCTTTGACCTCGAAGGCATCACAGCTGATCTCCCAATTGAAGGTGGGCTTGTTGGGAGCCTTGACTCGGTTGGGTGGTTCCACCTTTTGAGTCTTGCGGCAGGTCTCACAAGCAAAGTGCCTGGCAGCTTCTAGTGTAGGTTGAGGAGCTCCAGCTGTCCGAAGGAGTTGAACCATTGCTGATGTGCTGCAGTGACCTGTCATGGAACGCAGTCTTCGAAGAGCCACTCGAATGGCACGATCTGCCTTCAGCCACTTTTGACGGCGTGTTGCCTCAAGTGAAGTTGAATCACCCAGGGTGGTGTCTTCCTCGATGGATTCAAGTCGTTGGATCTCCTCCTCTGTGGTCTTGGCGGTCACGATGGTGCTCTTCGACACATCCTTTTCATCATAGATGGCGTCAAGCTGCCCAAGTGGAGTTTCTTCTTCTTCAATCTCCGTGGAGAACTCACCGGCGAAGGCTGAGAAAAGACTGCGCTC